CCTCCCTAATTCTGGGCTCCCTGAGCCGGGAGCTATATCCACTCTTTAACAGCCCTTGATGGACTCCTCATCGGTGAATTTTAATAGTTGCTTTTTTTTTTTTTTTTTTTTGAACCTATCTCTACGTGAACCCTCTGCAATAGTTTCCTCGGTCTGTGCTCTCAGAAAGTACTTCATTTTGCTTTACGCAGGCTGCCTGAACAGAGTAAAACTAAGGTGGCTCAAGTAACGAGCTGGCTAATTTGCTCTTCGTGCTTGATTATTTTCAAGGCATCTACTTTGTGTGATAAAATGACACCACTACGTGGGCAGAGATGTGCCATAGCTGTAGGAGAGCTTCCGTGCAAACCAAGGCGTATCTGTGTTGATCGCTGCTTAAACTGCAGTGGAGCCCGTGAGCACGTCTGACTTTGCTTTCTGTTGTGCTGGACAGTGTACAAACATCAGAAGTATGTCATGATCTTAATTTGCCGCTGTGGGATTGCTGGCAGGAGCCTGCGTGACTCTTGCTCAATTGAACCTTTTGTTCAGGGACATGGCTGTGTGGGTTTGCAGACAGCTACAGTGACTCCAAACCCAGGCGCTGTCGTCTTGGTGGTCTGGACATGCAAAGTCTGGACATGCTCCCAGGGGCTTCCGAGAAGCTCCTCTGCCACTTGTGTCCTTCCTTAGTCTCTTAAACTTCCAGTGGTTGCTTAAGTTGGAGGAGCTTTCTCTAGAGGTCTGGAAATCCCCTGTTACTTAAGATTGCAACTTTTTCCATCCTAGTTAAATTCAGGTTGCTTCCTTTGTAAAGAAAGGAGGGGGGAATGGGAGTATAGATGGTAGTTTATAATTTGTACTTGTGGATCTGCTTCCTTCCTCCCTTCTAAACCCTATTTACGTGTAAAGATTAGTCTGAATGACTGGAAAACCTTTACTGAAGGAACCAGGATGAGAGCAGTAGTAATGGAGAGTAATACACTGGTCAGCCAAAAAATGGTGTCTCCTCCTGTTAAATACTGCTCTGTACTGAGCTAAACTTCAGACAGGGGCCGAGGAAGGTGGTTAAGGCACACTCATGCAGACAGCAGAGCTACTACAGTGTGCGGCTGATTGATGCGCTCTCTGATTAAAATGTCAGATTTACTGTTTTCTTTGATAACTGAAACAGCTACTATACTAGCACAAATAGCAGCAAATATAGTATGTCACAGCTGAGCGAGCGTAACTTGGAACACTTGCTCGTGGATTGAAAAATAATCCCAGATTGTCCTGGTTATTGATACGTGGAGATAATGCTGTTTATGAATGGACTGCGGCTCTTAACGCGATGCAGAGATGTAGCATTTTGCATCGTACGATACGGATTTGCAAAAGGACCCTGAAGTCCAACCTGCAGTGCCAGTGTGTTTGGCCATACAAAACCGTAAGCGCTTTAAGAGCCTCTATAAAAATAAACCTTGCTTCAGTCCCTGCTGGCGCTCTGGCTAGTCACTTGATTAATCAACCTCGGTCGCAGACGCTGACTGGCGGAGCAAATAGCACATGCAAGCAAGTTAGCGAGGGCTAATGCCCAAACTAGCTTCTAAAAATACTGTAATAGCTGGGCGATACAGTAAGTTAAATAACGTGCTTTAATTTCATATTGAGAGCATTTATGGGAAGAGGGGAGATAGCTGTGGATTAAAATACAGCGAAAACACATGACTTATTGGGAGCACGGTGTCGGGGCGGGGAGGGGAAGGGGGGAATGATGGACAAAAGCAGGTGCCCACCTTGCCGAGGTCGCGCCCAACAATGCGGCCGTGCCGTGCCTGCGCCCTGGCGGCTCCGCACGAAGCAATTATATAATTTTTTTTTTTTTTAACCTTGTTCCAGTGTCTGTCTGACTTCTGCTGCAGTTTGGCAGAGTGCCATTATTTGTCTTTGAAGGACTTACATAAATAGACTCTGGAGGGTCATGTGAAACTATCATGAGCTCTTTAAAAAATCGCCCAGCGCTTACCTTTTCTGCGCTGCCCGCATTGCTCCAGCAGGTGTGGTTCTGTTTATGCACGGCTGCCGCTCTAGTCGCTCTACTTGAGCAACTGCGTTGTGCTGGCCCTTCGTGCCGGGAGGGAACCTTTTGCTCCGCGTTTTGCTCGAGCTCCGGGCGAATCCTGTAGCCCTTCCGAGAAGGGGCTTCCACCTACCGAAACGGGTAGGGGGCTTCAGCTTTGTGCAGGTCGCCCCGACAGTCCCTTTACAGCTTCAGTAATTGAAGTCTCTGCCTCCGAAGACATTGGTATATCTCACTGTGGCTTTGCCTTAAACTTGGTGAACAAGGCCTGTGGCTCTCAGCACCTTCCGGTACACCTGTAAGGTTAGCCCGGAGAGGATGTATCCTATTTCTCTAAGTTAATAGTGATTGCTCTTTTTGAAAAAAGAAAAAAGAATCTGTTTTAAATGAAAAATTATCAGCTTGCAGCTAACTGTAAGCCTCAATCTCTGAAATAAGGTCTTCTCATTAAAACTTCAGTGTATTAGTGCTGTGGGAAATCCACAGGTAAACAGATGCATCTCGGCCACGTCTCATCTCTGTAACTGCATAACTCTGCGTGAGTCTTGTCTTCCAGTGGACATTTTTATATGTTGGGACAACTCTTAGGACTGTTTTTCTGTGTTCTGCTGTACACTTCTGTAGTGATGACATGTTGCTCTTCCCAGCTATGAGGCAACGTGCAACTGCATCCACACAGCAGAAGACATCTGGGCTTGTTTGCGGGAGGTGGAACTGACCCTTTGTACTGCTGAAACTGCACCTGCTCCCGTGGGGTTTCAACTACCCGATAACAATACAAGGTGTTGACTTACATAGGGTGCGAAGAAGCGTTTTGCACTACAAGGAGGAATGATCTTCTTTATCCTTAACGCTTGAGATGTTTAGCGCTCGGTCTCTGTACCGGGTTGTACTACTATGTGCTAGGCTTGAAATGCCTGGAAAGCAAGCAACTTCAGGTTCAAGTTTTGACTCAGGCTTTTCCTAGATAAGCTGTTCCTCCCTGCTCTTGTCCCTGGAGCCTTAGAAGGAATTGTGCTAAGCTTTCTGGGGACCAGACTCTAGACTCTCTGTTCTGTAGGGGCTGTCTGCATCCTGCAGAGTTACCTTCCAGTATTGTTAAGTCTCAACTTCCCTGTGTGAAATTTAAAATTCAGGTGTTCTGGTCTAATCAGTGCTGGCTGTGTGATATCCCAGGGAAAACTAGATATACTGGGTGAAAGCAATGGGCTCTCTAAAAATGGTATTGATGTTCCAGTGTGATATTCTGCAGCTGTAAGGGATTTGAATGAGATGGGAGCTTGAGTTGCTTATTCCTAATGAGTATTCAGTTAGCTTCAGTGAGGCTGTTAACAAATGTTGCTGAATTTCAAGAAACTAAGAGCAAATACAGTAATGTTGACAGGAAGTCTTATTTCTGTTTTGGAGGTTTTCTGTTGTTGGTTGGTTGGTTGGTTTTTTTCTGAAAAGCAAACGAACAGTCTTGTGAGATAATCTCCATGTGGCTTATGAAACAACTCTCAGTGTCTGGTAAAGCAGTGGCAAGGATGTAAAGAGCTATCAAGTGGCATAGTCAATATGGAGGCAGAGGGTTGCGTGGTCCAGACTGTATCTGGCATGAACAGGTAGACATCATATATATCTTTTTTTTTTTTTTTTTGTAAAAACTTCTCTTAAGTCGTACCACTGTTGGCAGTTTTTGTCTTACAAGTGCTTGTAGGCTCCTGATGGTGCTGGCTCTGAAGGAACTCAAGAGCTTGAGCCTGTCAGTATCAATTGGCTCTTGAATTCAAAGCTCAGGATCTGCTCTTTGAGGAAGTCTCTCTGAAGGACAGATAAAATATATTTTTAATTTCATATCCTATATGAATGTATATATATTTCATGTATGGTAGTTAGCCCAGAACACTACTTACATTACGATTTTGAGCATTCGCTTACGTTCCGTAAACTGGAAATGTTGGGCTTGGGGCTCACAGCTGCCTGTAGTTGAGTCGCTGGGCTCTGTGCGCGTGTTACTGCACTGCCATAATTACTGTGTAATTTGCCATGAAGGTGCTTCCTCTAGGCTTTGACGTAAATGTGATACATGCCACTGGATTTATCTCACGTTCTGGGCATAGTAGCAACGTGTGTATAGTCATGTATGTCACTGCAGCACAGCTTACGGGCCGTAATCTATTAGTTTAGTCAACTTTATGACCTTGTTTCTGTTTTTCCGTACCCACCTTAACTGGTATATACAAAGTTATATCAAGTTTGTAAAACTGTACGTACTCTAGATTTCCTTCTCATACTGACACTTCTAAAAATCGATGCAACTTATCTTATTTTTCTTATTCTTTTGTTTATATTTCAACTTTCCAGTTCTCTCCTAGTCTTCTTTTTTGGCAAGATCTATGAGAAACTGTGGTATTTTAGACTTAGCCAAATTCAGTCGATGTTAAAACTTCTTGAAACCTGATCTTGTGAGAGTTCTAGTATGAAAAAAAATCAGGTTGGCAACCAGAATCATGGATGTTTATCTAAACTGAACTGATTCCTCTTGAGGTTTAGTAGTTCACGATTGAATCTGTTTCAGTCCAGTTAATTAGTTACAAATCCCTAAGCCACAGTCTTGGAATTAAAGAAAACAAAGCCCCAAGCCTCTACATAATTTGATGCAAGAAGAAACTTTGGTTAAACTAGGAAGTACTTTGCCTCACTCTTTTCTAAAATGTAAAACTGATGAACAGATGAGCCAACAGCACAGTCATTTATTCTAGAATCATGCCCGCCTGTATTATTGTGACAGTCTTGTGTTCCCCAAATGTATTTATATTTTTTTTCCCTCACTTCTCCTACATCTGTTTCTCCTTCAGAGTTGTGGCAAAGATTTATTTATTTATTTATTTATTTGTGTCAGTGTTTTGGCTCTGAGCAGCACAGCTTACAGGGAATAACAGAATGCCTGTTTTTGATAAGGTTCTCTGCTGTTCTGTTTTTAGGACAATGTAGATCAGACTTCAGCTCATGGTCGGCGGGATCTGGTGGAACCAGGATTCCAAGAACCATCTAATCGCATCTCTCTAAATCACCAAGGTAAGAAATGGTGGGTGGGAATCCAGGATCATCGGGGAAAGCCAGAGAGCTGCATATCCAGAAGTGGTTTTGCTTCCGTATTACAATTTCTCATCATCATTAAAAAAAAAAAAAAACAAAACACACACACACTCACACTCTTCTTCAGCTTTCCTACTCCAGCTGGTCAAAACCTTTTATCACAACTGTCCTGTCTGAGCTATGGATGAAGATGACTGAGTACTTGCTGCACATCTCAAATCTTTTAACCAAAAACCGGGTTTGTTAGCATGGGGGAGTAGGAATTTGCTTCTGTTTTTTATGAGAAGAAGGGGGGAAGTATTGAAATTTAATTCAACTTTTGCAATGCTGAAGTTACCTTTTAAGAGTTTTCACCTGCCACAGAAAAGGTGAAAGTCTGTCTGGATTACTGAATGATTTACCACTCTTGAGTGCAGCTATAATGAATACCAATGCCTCATGAAGAGACAAATCTCTAAGCAGTGTCTCAAAAACACCAGGGTATCTAAATTTGTATTTGTTCACACACCTACAAAAGATGGTTAAAATCATAGCAGGGATTATTTTGGCTCAGCTTTAGTTTTTTTGGCTTCAAAATAAATAATAATAGAAAGTGCTGTTTTCACCGGTGAGCCCCTTCCCCTCAGTCCTCCTGATGGATTAATTTGGAATCAAGTGCTTAAAGCTAGTCTTTAAATGCATTTTCTTTAAAGCATCAGTTTACAGTACTGTAGTCAGCACGAGGCTATTCAAACAGGAAAAATCTTGAGTAAATTAGTAAAAACATTATTTCCTGAGTGTGACCTGCTTAACTTTTTCTTCAAAAAAAGCTCGTTTCTTTCATTTGCCAAGGGCAGGACTGGAATTTCATGACTTGCAAATCCTCAGCACTATTTGAGTTTGATAAACAAGTCTCCAGACATAATGAGTATTATATTTTAATTTCCCCCTCCACACACACACCTCAAGTTTCCCAGGTATTTTAAATTTATGCTTTTAATTGAAAATGGAAGAGAACATGTTGTCACAAAGAGAAACCCGAAACTTTCAGGAGCAAGCAGCGCAGTTTAATATAACAATAATGTTCTAAGGTGAATAAAAAATTGAATTTATAATCATATGTACTTTGCGATGTGCAAATCCTAGAGCAGATTTATATAGCTGACATTTTCTGAAGATATTCAAAGATATCCTTCTTTTAATAAGGAATATTTTTGGGGGCGCATCCTGTGTGATCTAAGTTCACGTGACAGAGTGAAAGTGTGTGACTGCAGCTAATGATGGCTGAATATATCCTGGAAGGACACGGAGTATTGTATTTGGATGGCAGAACGCTAACTCTGTAGCCTGACATTTTCCTAATAGATTAATACCGCCTTTTCAGATCCTTCCTTTCTTCTGTCAATATTACAGTAGCGTAAAAGGATCCATAAAGCGTCAGGTTGGTTTAGGCAGCTAGATGTGGTGCTGCTTACAGTCCTTTTTGTGCATCTTTCTCTTGTGCCTTCAAACAAGGATTTGTATCTCTGGGCACCTAGCCTGACGCCAGATGTTTTCTCTCATTTGTTACTGGCATTGCATACGTGAAGCATACTTAGCACCTGATGTGTGACTCTGCCTGAGCTACTTTGAGACAAATATTTGTATTCACACTAATACGAATTAATTTATGAAACAATTATTTTTAAACAGAATATTTGTCACAGTGGTACTGGCAGTTTAAGGCCTGCTTCTAAAGTAAGACCTGTTTAACATTTTTCCCAATAGTTTCTGAAATAAATACCACTTTTTGCAGCTTCAGATTGTTTGGATTTTTTTCTACATCAGCTGAGTGACAGCAGTCAACTTATTTTGTATTTCTAAAATCTTTCGGATTTTCTTGCTGAAATAGGTATTTAATACGTTATTGGTCTTGTCTACCACTACGGCATAAATTGCTATTAGTGCAAGTGGCATGGATTAAGTGAATTAGGAAGTGGGAATAATACAACATTTTAAATCTAAATGTCCAGTATTGTCCTTTTTGTCTAAATCTAAATGTCCGGTAGTGGCTTTTTACAGCATTTGCCTGTGGTATCTTCATCTTTCTGTGGTGTTGGAGGGACATACCTTACAGGAATGATGCCTACTTTTTCAGGATATTTATGGAAGTGTAAGTGGCTGTGAACCTGATGATGTTGTCATGTCTGATTTTGTCTGTCCAAGGATGAGGTTTTTACCCTGTTATATACCTATGAAATACACGTTCTTGTCCAATAACTTGAAAGTACAAGTATTTTCACATGAAACAGCTGCTGCTTATTCAAATGACTGATTAAACTATACCATCAAAAACTTCAGGGGGAGTTGACATGATCTGAACTAGATCCGCTGCATTCATCATATTAGTCAGTTACACAGCAAACAGAAAGATCAGATGGCTAAAAATAAAAGTTTTTTTTTTTAAGTTCTGTGGGAGTTTTTTTTTTTTTAGTATTACACTAAATTGTGTTATCCATTAGTTTCTATTAAAGCTTTGCTAACATTGAATTAGATGAAAAACTTAAGTAAAATGTATCCAGAAGTAGCTTGCAGGACCACTGCTTGCATTTAGTAAATGAATCTGTATTGGGTGATGTGTCTGGATTATGCTGACGTTAAAGATATTTACAACAGACTATGGCTGACTTGGCTTCCAGTTATTGAGGCCCTTACTATCTGAGTAATCCCCCTGACTTCAGCTTGTCCTGACTAGCAGATCTAAAGCTCTTATTCCCGTATTTCCTAAGAATTTTAAGGAAAACTGGTGGGCCCAGATTTGCACCAAAGCTGTTTTAAGACATCTTTGACGTGGGCAGAAAATCTGGAAGGATTACAATTGGCTAAAATACTTCTCATGTTAGTGTTGTTTTGCTTTTTTCATCCCCTCTTCTTTTTTCCATTTAGTATGCTGTGTCTGAAATACTGCAGCTGAACTTTGAGCAACCTCACTTATTACGTTATTTTATGTATACACTTCCAATTCATACCTGACCGCGCGCTGTTCAGCGAGTACAGCAGATTTGCCAGTTCCTGTTGAACATTAACTTCTAGCCCTTTGCTTTCACTTGGAAAGCTTTGGTGCAAGCACTTACAATTCTAAACCAGACCCTGCTTTCCATGGCCTATAAAAATGGTGATTAGCTTCCTCTGAGGCATCTGAATCTCTTCAACACAAACTGGAAAAAGAGCATGCGAGTGGAGCCTGAGCTATCCCTGCCAGCTGTCCCTGCATGAATAAGCTC